TCTTGTATGTGACATCTGCTATTCAATAAAAAGATAATTGCAACGTAGTACGTAGTAGGGTCTCCAGCACAATGGCGTGGAGGATTTGGACCCATTTGGAGAGTGTTGGTGGTTATCGAGGAGCTGGATCCATTTCTGATGTCTCATAAATATCTGAGCTGCGAATAGACGGCTCTAAATGTAATCTAACGTAATATTTTCTGTGTGTTTTCAGCCTCCACGTGTCTCTGAGTGTAATTTAAATATTTATTGTCACATTACAACAGTGTTTCTCAACTTTTCATACCAAGGACACTTAACCAATAAAAAAACACTCGCGGACCACTTAACTCCACAAATATCCAAAAACACATTGTTTTTTACAAATCGCCTGAAAATGGTACAAACAAGTGGCAACATGTGTGATGAAGGTGTTGATCGGGCTATAGCATGCAATTGAAAGTGAAACTTAAGCTCGCTCCATTGCGGAGATATTCCCGCGAGAGTGCGGAAAACTTTAATTAATTAATTTCAAATGTGAATTTTACCAATATACTCACGGACCACTAGGGGCGCTAATGGACCACCAGTGGTCCATTAGCGCCCATCACACTTTGAGAAGCACTGCATTACAACAACATAACAATCATGTTACAAAAGGCCAGCAAGGCAATGCAACATAAATAAGTAAAAGGCTTCATGTTATTATACTCTTGATGATACATGTGACGATTAGCTATGTTCCAGTCAAAGGTCTTTGTTTTGTAGAGAGTCTATTTTAACCACTTTCTGTTGTTGTGTTTCTTGCAATCTCAATTTATAGTTTTTTCCATCACAAATATTTCTTCCACGATCACTACCCATTGGTTTTTCGTTGGTGGTGCTTCCTTACCCAAATTGTTAAGACAGTTGTCTCTCTTGGGAACAATCGTTTGGCGTCATCTGTTCTTGTGACATCAAAAAGTCTAGACCCCGAATATAAGACGACCCCTCTTTCTCTGAATTAGTTTTGTCTTCGGGTTGATACGGTATTAAATGTAATCTAACGTTCCTGTGTGTTCCTGTGTGTTCCAGCCTCCACGTGTCCCTCAGCTCTCAGGGTCAGACCATGCTGTCGGCGCTGCTCTTCAGCACGCTGCTCTGGCTCAGCCTCATCCTGGCTCTCAGGTTCTGTCTCAAGCTGCTGCTCTCATACCATCAGTGGATGTTCGAGCAGCACGGACGAGTCTCCAACACCACCAAGATCTGGGTGGTGAGACCCCCCCCCCCCACACACACACACACACACACACACCCAAAATTAATGATTCCCCTCATGGGGACCTCCAATTTGTCCCCATAAGGGAGGCGAGTCCCCACCCGTGACTGTGTAAACAGATGTAGGTCCCCACAAGTAAAGTAATGCTAGGCCACACACACACACACACACACACACACACACACACACACACACACACACACACACAGAAAGCCCTGCATTCAAGTATCACACGTTTTTAAATCAACTTTTTCCCAATTTTTAAAAATAAAACACACGTGAACATCGATGCAGCGTCCGTCATATATCTTTATTACTTTTAAGTGTCTCTATAAGTAATACAGTTATATAAACCTTGCATATCTGTATATTCTGCACAATGCTGCCTATTCCAAACCTTTAACTTCACATAGACTGCACTAACATATTTGTATTTCTGTTCCAATTTCTAACAACTTATATTAAAAGCCCAGTCTGCTCTGATTGGTCAGCTGGCCGGCTCTGTTGTGATTGGTCGACCAGCTTAGAGATGTCCCGCCCCTTTAGCCTATCACGTACAATGTGTTGGAGCGCTAGCCAATAGGAGCGCTAGTGTTATGTATTGATGTCACAACGTTCTTGTTTCTCTCAGACTCTCCTCAGGCTGTTATCCAGCAGGAAAGCCTCTGCTCTACAGCTATCAGACGTCTCTACCTCACCTTCCAGTTCCTGTGATCAAAGAGACTGTCAACAGGGTGAGCACACACACACACACACACACACACACACACACACACACACACATACACATACATGTATACATCACTTCAGGGGACATTACATTGACTTACATGCATTTACTGGAGACTTATCCTAACCTTAACCATAACCAACACATGCCTAACCCTAACCCTTACCCTAAACCTTACCAAGTCTTCACCCTAAAATTAATGATTCCCCTTATGGGGACCTCCAATTTGTCCCCATAAGGGAGGCCAGTCCCCACACGTGACTATGTAAACAGATTTAGGTCCCCACAAGTATAGTAATGCTAGACCACACACACACACACACACACGCACACACACACACACACACACTCTCTCACTCAGCTGCTCGTTAAGTATTGACCTCAGCTGCTCGTTAAGTATTGACCTCAGCTGCTCGTTAAGTATTGACCTCACCTGCTCGTTAAGTATTGACCTCACCTGCTCGTTAAGTATTGACCTCAGCTGCTCGTTAAGTATTGACCTCACCTGCTCTTTAAGTATTGACCTCACCTGCTCATTAAGTATTGACCTCAGCTGCTCGTTAAGTATTGACCTCACCTGCTCGTTAAGTATTGACCTCACCTGCTCGTTAAGTATTGACCCTCACCTGCTCTTTAAGTATTGACCTCACCTGCTCGTTAAGTATTGACCTCACCTGCTCTTTAAGTATTGACCTCACCTGCTCGTTAAGTATTGACCTCACCTGCTCGTTAAGTATTGACCTCACCTGCTCGTTAAGTATTGACCTCACCTGCTCTTTAAGTATTGACCTCACCTGCTCTTTAAGTATTGACCTCACCTGCTCTTTAAGTATTGACCTCACCTGCTCTTTAAGTATTGACCTCAGCTGCTCTTTAAGTATTGACCTCACCTGCTCTTTAAGTATTGACCTCACCTGCTCTTTAAGTATTGACCTCACCTGCTCTTTAAGTATTGACCTCACCTGCTCTTTAAGTATTGACCTCAGCTGCTCTTTAAGTATTGACCTCACTTGCTCGTTAAGTATTGACCTCAGCTGCTCGTTAAGTATTGACCTCACCTGCTCTTTAAGTATTGACCTCACCTGCTCGTTAAGTATTGACCTCAGCTGCTCGTTAAGTATTGACCACACCTGCTCGTTAAGTATTGACCTCACCTGCTCTTTAAGTATTGACCTCACCTGCTCTTTAAGTATTGACCTCACCTGCTCTTTAAGTATTGACCTCACCTGCTCTTTAAGTATTGACCTCACCTGCTCTTTAAGTATTGACCTCAGCTGCTCTTTAAGTATTGACCTCACTTGCTCGTTAAGTATTGACCTCAGCTGCTCGTTAAGTATTGACCTCACCTGCTCTTTAAGTATTGACCTCACCTGCTCGTTAAGTATTGACCTCAGCTGCTCGTTAAGTATTGACCTCACCTGCTCTTTAAGTATTGACCTCACCTGCTCGTTAAGTATTGACCTCACCTGCTCTTTAAGTATTGACCTCACCTGCTCGTTAAGTATTGACCTCACCTGCTCTTTAAGTATTGACCTCACTTGCTCGTTAAGTATTGACCTCACCTGCTCTTTAAGTATTGACCTCACCTGCTCTTTAAGTATTGACCTCACCTGCTCTTTAAGTATTGACCTCACTTGCTCGTTAAGTATTGACCTCACCTGCTCTTTAAGTATTGACCTCACTTGCTCGTTAAGTATTGACCTCACCTGCTCTTTAAGTATTGACCTCACCTGCTCTTTAAGTATTGACCTCACCTGCTCTTTAAGTATTGACCTCACCTGCTCTTTAAGTATTGACCTCACCTGCTCGTTAAGTATTGACCTCACCTGCTCTTTAAGTATTGACCTCACCTGCTCGTTAAGTATTGACCTCACCTGCTCTTTAAGTATTGACCTCACTTGCTCGTTAAGTATTGACCTCACCTGCTCGTTAAGTATTGACCTCAGCTGCTCGTTAAGTATTGACCTCACCTGCTCTTTAAGTATTGACCTCACCTGCTCGTTAAGTATTGACCTCACCTGCTCGTTAAGTACCCACCTGTTCTTTCCTCAGTACCTGCTGTCGGCTCGCCCCCTGCTGACGGACGAAGGTTACGAACGGATGACCAAACTTGCGGCTCAGTTTGAAAACAACCTGGGGAACCGTCTGCAGAGATACCTGAAGCTCAAAGCTCTGTGGGCCACCAACTACGTGAGACACACACACACACGCACGCACGCACGCTCACGCACACGCACACGCACACGCACACGCACACGCACACACACACACACATACAAATTTGAAAAAAAACTTTGAGAAAAGTCAGAATTTTTGAAGAAAAAAAAAGATCTGGGAAAAGTCAGAATTCTACGGAGCCCCCTAGGGGACATGGAGAAGAAAAAAAAAATTATTTGAATTAAAAAAAAATGTATTGCGAGATCTCGCAAAACCCCGTTGCAGTTTGTAGACGGTCCCTAAGCACTCCTCCCTCCTCCAGCTGCAGATTGTGACCAATTCTTGATGTTTAGCTCGGATGACAGCGCGTATCGAACTGTTCTGATAAAAACGACTCTGTAGCTCGTTGTCTACCTTGCTATGATTGTAAAGTCATGTTGTTTGTATTTTTACAACGTTATGTTCATGAGTTATTGATCCGCGAAATTCAAATCTGTCAATAACTCAGCTCAGAGGGACGTGCATGTCCCCTCGCTCTGAGTGTTCTCTTGAGGTGTCGTCACTTATGTGAAACCCTTTTATATATACAGTCTATGTGTGAAACCCGTGCCTATTGCCAAGCACTGATGTTATATCTTTATATTTAAGGCCAAGCTCAAAGTAAAGTCGATGAACCACTCCATTGTTGTGGTTTCTGTGTTGCCGTAGCAGCCGAACTGACCAGGAAGCACTAAATGAAAAGTATTGCGAGATCTCGCAAAACATTTTTCTTTTTTTTTCTGTTCAAATTATTTATTTTGTTCTTCTCCATGTCCCCTAGGGGGCTCCGTAGAATTCTGAGAACAAAATGAAATTTGAAGGAAAAAAATTGGAGAAAATGTTGAATGTTAGAAAAAATGAAAATTTGAGAAAAAGTCAAAATTCTGGAAAAAAAATGAAATTTCCTAAAAAAAAGTCAAATGTGTGAAATGAAAATGAATTATTTTATAAAAAGGCAAATTTGAATAAGACAAACGATCATGCTTGAAAACATTTCTATGTAATTTTTCCTGAGAAATCTCATATTTGTTATACAAACTCAAATGGCAACAACACATCTTCAGGTTTGGAAGTCAATGGCTGTGTTTCGTCCTGTTTATGATAAATGAGTAACTGTGTTCCAGGTGAGCGACTGGTGGGAGGAGTACATCTACCTGAGGAGCCGAGGACCAATCATGGTCAACAGCAACTACTACGGCATG